TTTTTTTTTTCTTCAAACGAAGCATTAACACATGTTAGACTGCACCCCATAAACACAATCAAGCCTAGAAAAAACCCAGTGAACCACCCCTTTAAGTCAAATTTAGTCCACAGGTTTGCTTGTATGAGTTATTAACCTGTTTCAGTCTTAGTATAAAGGCCTGTTGAGTATTTGGTGTGGAAATTGTGATAAACATTTTAATTTGAATAAATGGTTGTTAATGCATTTGTTTAGACCAACATGAATATTCACATGCCATCGGTCACTGAATTACCTTTTTTTTTTCATCTCACTGGCAGACCAATAAGATTTGTGCTTTTGGTCACATGCCCAGAGCCGCTGCTGTTACTACTTCTTTTCTAAAAGTGCCACCTACTTTCAGAGAGCAAGTTTACATTTTCCTTCAGTTTTTTTGCACATTGGTCTGAACAGACAAATCACATGTGAAAATCAGACCAAATTTTGGTTCCAAATATTTGTGTCAGTGTGAACAGGTATTGATTTTCCCTGCTGTTCTTGTTTGTAACCATGTATTCAGAATGACATTTGTTTATTATTAGGTCAAACTTCCTCTACAGATTTACATGTCAAATAAGGTGATATTCAAATATGTACATTCTCTATGTTAGCCTCTTTCATATGTAAACCACCTTTTGTTTTTTAATGACGTCTTTGGGTCTCACATGCATTTTGTTTTTGTTCCTGTGGTTTGCCGTTGATATTTGTGTTTTGTATGCTTTTCAGGACATTATTGCTGGTTTTCTGTACAGTTTGCTGATCCTGGTGGTCTTCAGTCCTGCTCTGGACATCATCGACACCTTTAACCGCTCACATCCCTACGCCCCGCTCATCATCATCTCACTTCACGTAGGACTAGGCCTCTTCTCCTTCACCTTGGACACCTGGAGCACCTCACGCGGTGACACCGCCCAAATCCTGGGCTCTGGCGCGGGGATCGCCTTGGCATCCCACATCAACTACCACCTGGGCCTTTTGCCAGACCCACCTGCATCCATGTTTCCTCTTCAACCCCCATCTTTCACCCTCAGCCTGATCGGACTCTGTCTACTCCGCTTTCTCCTCGGTGTCATCATTCTCCTGGCTACCAGAGCCATAATGAAGGCTCTCACCATCCCGCTCGTCTGCTGGCTCTTTGGGATTCCCAGCGGCGACGTCCGGAAGGCCAGGCAGCACATGGAGGTGGAGCTGCCGTATCGTTATATCGTCTATGGAACCGTGGGGTTAAATGCGCATTTTCTTGTGCCTTTCCTGTTTGCACGTGTGGGCCTGTTGTGATTAGGTGGAAGAAACACCTATTCTTTTAGCCAATAAGAGCCCAGTTGGACTGCAGAGGCAACTCTCTTCGAATCAGTAATTGGATGGAACTAATGCCGATCATGTAACTGACACTGTGCTACACCTTCCAGATGCTCCTTGAATGCATTTTCCACCATTTATACTGTAGTTTTATCAGATTTTCTATTCAAAACACCTATTTGATGTTGATCCAGAGATTATTGCCCTTTTCTATGCAGTTTGCATTGCATGTATAGTACAGTAGCATATCTATCAGATTCTATTCTTATCTAAAATCCTATGTTTTTTTGCAAGCAATACAGCATTTTTGCTAATTCTCAAATTTTATAGGACTTACGAGTAATCTTTTGGCTAGATTTGTTCATGCCACAGTAGGTGGACTTAAACTCTTGCATCAAGAGTTGATTGAAATCTCTCTTGCGAAGATGTGACTCATGCAAATTAGCGTGCAAAATCTCTGCGACGCTTACGAATTGGCTGGAACTGATGCCAGCAATTTATATTTCTTTTGTTTGCGAGATTTGAATCTGAAATCTCAAATGTTAATAGAAATGGTCAGTGTTGGGAGCAGCGCTGATCTTTGTGGTAATTTTTGTTGCAGTTGATTGAGATGTTTAGTTTTTGATCTAAAGAAGGTTGGACTATTCTCCAAAGACTTATAGAAACCTTAAACGGATAGTTCATACAAAACGACAGTTCTGTCATTTTACTCACCCTCAATATTTGACCTGTGGTGCAGAAGAAAATATTTTGAGAGATGTCTTCTTGTGCATATAATAGAAGTCAATGGGCTCTAATGTTATTTGGTTCTCAATGTTTCCAACAGAGAAAGTAAGTCACAGGTTTGGAATAACAATATTGTCAGGGAGTCTGGCTCGTAATCAGAATTTTATTAGATCTTCAATCTCAGTCTGTTTTTATTCCCTGTAAGTTGCTGCTTAGAATATGGTACTATATGTGTGTGTAAATATGTGCGGCATTATTGATCGCAAAGAAAAGCGACACTAGACTAATAAATGTTTTCTCTACTAGCATTTAGCGGTGTGCTTTCAGTCAGGTTGAAACACAAGGTTTGCCACTAAGCCTATGAATAATTCTGCCTTCTGATAGTCAAGGTTGTGTTTGATGTATAGTTAAGATGAATTTGTGGTACTGATTTAAATGCACTGTTCCCAGATTGCACTGCTCTGCTGCCTGCTGTTGTGCGTGTTGCTGCGATGGCCTTATAATAGGTCAGGCTTGCATGACACTGCTGTGTGCGTGCGTTTATACTCTTCCTGTGGCCTTGTGTGTCTTTGTGCACATGTTAGTTCTTATTTTTGCTGAAAGAGAAGCTGGTTTCCCAACTCCTCACTTCTGTAAACAAGATTTTTTTTTCTCTCTGAATGATGAGAAAACCAGCTATTCTTCTCAGTGCAGAGCAATGCTGACCTCTGATCCTTCACCTAGAACAATATAGATCTGTGTAATTAATTTTAAGGTCAGAGGTTATATGGAAGAGACAAAGGTCGGAAGTTGTATTTAGGACAGAATATGAGAAGGAGATTGTCCTTGGTGAGCATTGCTTTCTGGACCAATTGTACTGCGTGATTCCATAATAATTGTGTTTTTGGATGGCAGTAGATAGATTTTAGCATTTGTTTTCTCTCAGGCCTGTGTTCTAGTAATCTGTCATGTGTTTATGACCAAGTATGAGTGCTTTCAGTAGTTGTAAGTCCATTATGTAATTTTCAGCCCCGCACTGAATCTGTAGGATTTTCAAAAGATTGGATTGCATATCATTAAAAAAACTCAACACATGCTGTAGCCCTTTCTTGTTTATTTAATATTTTTATAATATTTTAATATCATTTGAAAACTATTTAACTACAAAAAAACGTAGTATTTCCAGGTCAATTTACCTAATTTTCCCATGTCTAAATTAAAACAACTCCACTGTAATCAGCACCGAATGCAGAAAACGGCAGCAGAATCTGTGTGGTCCTGCTCATGACCTAGGTTAAACTCCTGAGAAACTGGCCCAGTGGTGAAGTTTTCATTTATTTCCTTTGATTTGGTTTTCTCTGGTTTTCATGAAAATAACATGGCTTATTCTGAATAAACAGATCCGATTTGGATACCACACAGTGCCTTTTATCTAAATCTCTGCTATGTTTGATGAGACAATTATTCCCATCTGTTTCTTTTTCATTCTTCTTTCTTTCATCTAAGTAGAGCATTTGACAACCTTTAAACTAAAGTGGAACAGATCAGAATGGCTGATTGCTGCTCAGTCCATCCTGGTTCATCCAGTGTTGTTTTTTTAAAACTACAACTACTAAAAATAAATATAAAAATAGAAATTTTGCCCTGGCAACTAACTGAAATTAAAGAAGTTTTAATTGGAGTATTAAATTACTAAAACTGACATGAAAACAATATATTTAAAAAAAACAAAATGAAAAAAGCACATAAAATTAAATTGAAAACTGAAAATATAAAAACAAAAGCTAACTCCAAATATTTGTAAATACAGTCATAATAAATATAATACTAAAATAAGACTGGGTTTGTCTGTGATCAGCTCTACATCTTATGTTTACTATTTTTCAAACAAGAAAAAAGATTGCATGTTAAATATGTCAGTTATCCTCTGTTGGTGTTCGGTTTGCTGTCATAACCATTTCATAAATATATTACAGAAACTTAACATTTGTCTCATTTGAACAGACACCCTCCCATTGCTTCGGATGTTTATTTCAGTGTAAAATCAGTAGGATTTTTTTTTTTTTAATTTCTGGTTGTTTGTTTTGCTACTTATTGTGTTTTTCAATTATCATTTTTCACCAAATGTGTCCCAGAAGCTTTGGATACTGTATGTGTGTTTGTGTAAAATGTTATTTTGGAGCTCTGATTCTCATGTGTTTATTAATCTGGGTCTTTTTGATTTCCTTTTTAATGATCTGTAAATACGGATGACTTTGCCATCTCTTAATATTGTGGGAGGCATTCTGAAAGTGTTAAGAGCTTGATGCAGATCCATTGTAAAACCTGCAACTATGAAAAATATCCCATTTTAAAAGTGTAATAAAATGAACATTTAGACAAAACAAAAGTCTCCTGACCATCCAGCACTTGACACTGGAAGAATTGCACTCCCACAGGGCTAAAAACATAATGCACAAATCACCAAGAATTCAGTGTTATAAGGAGACCTATGCCCCTATGTTAATAAAATGGCTTGTTATAGAAGCTTTAATTTTTTTTCATAGAAATTTTTATCTGATGATCTTTGTTACCTACATCATTACGTTTGAATATTATGCTCAATAAAAATAAAAAAGGCTATTACTTTGGTCTGTTTTTGAAGAAAAACAAATAAAGAAATGGCATCTTATTAACAGAATCATATGGCTGGGTTTGATAAGCACACATTTGCTCAGTCATTGTTCCACAGGACGCTTAAGTGTTCCTGCTGAGATCAATGATTTTTTTTTTGTTTGTTTATTTATTTGGATCCCCATTAACTATGCCCTAAAGCATTGATAGTCTTCCTGGGGTCCACACAACACTTAACATTCATACATTATTACATACATTAAAAAATAAGAAAATAAAAAGTTAAATACATTCTCCACATTCCAAAGCATCTCTATAAACATTTCTTCCACCCTTTTTAATATCTATAACACCTACTAATATAAAAAAATGTATTGCTCATTCAATTAATTCCTACATCTCTGCCTTTTAAAATCAATTTTCCGTGTTATCCTAATTAATGAAAATGGTAAAAGATTCCATGATTTCATTACCCTAAATGTTACTGTATGTTTAAGAAAATTAGTTTTAGCATTAGGGAGTAGAAATATTCTACCCTCTGTTGCTCGTCTAGTAGCATATTCATGTGACTGAACATTAGATTGTAATTGATTATACTGATCCAATGGAGTTTTTGGGCCCGTTTACACCTGGTCATTTCATGCGTTTTCGCTTGAAAACGGATATAAATCCGATCTTCAATTCCCGCGCTATATTTAAATTTAACAGAGTTCACGTCAACGAAATCAAAAGATAAGCGCTGCATTTTATTAATTATCAGCTCATTTCAAGACCAAAGACCGCAATAGGTGTGCGTGCGGCATCAGCACTGGAAAGATAAGTTTGTCTTGTGATATGATGCGATTGAAATTTTTCCTTTCTCTTTGAAGTGTTACAAGCTCTTGGTGCATAAAGAAGATCTGTAAAGTTGCGAAGACTAAAGTCTCAAACCCAAAGAGATATTCTTTATAAAAGTTAAGAGTCAAGCAAATGACCGGCTTAATCCAGCATCCCAGCGTCAAAACATACCTAACCAGCATATGCTGGTTTTTTTAACAGGGTAAACCGCATAAACACATTTCATTACATCAAATACACAAAATAATGTTCTTTTTAGCAACATCATATGACCCCTTTAATGAAGATGATTGTGTTGACCGTCTGCGTATTTTGTTTCATTCGCAGCAGTTTGCACGTCGGCTTGCTGAAGAGATACTCAGCTACTCGTCCGCGGCGATGTGTGTTGCATTAGCGCAGTCATATCTGACTATAATGTCATATAGCCTATAACACGCTCTCACACGTTTATTATTTGAACATTTTGAGAGGAGTAAAATATACATATGTGGTTTCAACAGCCAGATGCATTTACACTTGTCCAGTTTCGTCTGGAATGCGGCCCAGACCACCTCCTGAAGTGGTTTGAGCGATCGGATTTATATCCGTCTCGAATGCGTTTCGGAGGGCATTTACACCTGGCCTTTTCACGATCGGATAGCTATCCGATCAGACAAAACGCATGAAGTGACCAGGTGTAAACAGCCCGTTAAAATGTAAAACCTTCCATGTTGATAACAGTATTGCAGCAATCATCCTATCTTCCACTGTTAGCCATTTAAGATCAAAGTGCATACTATTAATATTTGTACCATACGAACACTGGAGGATTAATCTCGCTGCCTTATTTTGTACCAACTGAAGTTTCCTCAAATCCTTTTTTGTAGCATTGGCCCATATTATCTGACAATAGTCCAGCTGTGAGAAGAAGAGTGTCCAAAATTATTTTCATTATATCAAACGTAAAGTAGGCTATTGTCTACATCTCCTTACTACAGCTACCACCCTTCCCATTCTCTTCACTATGTTCTCAATATGCTTTGACCATGACAATTTATTATCCAGGGTGATACCCAATAGTTTTGCTTCCTTAACTTGCTGAATAAGTGTTTTATTTATATATAATTTCAGCTCCGGTTTGGACCGTAGAAAATAATGACAGATTTCTCTGTAATGCCTGAAATATTAATGTACATGTGTGAGCATGTTTAGCCAGATTTGCCCTGGCAGTTCAGGTTACAAAAAAAAAAACTCTCTTCTCTTTTTCATTTCACTGTTTAGTGTCACATAAGATGTAATTATTAGTAAAAATGAGCTTATTTGTGTTCATCCAAAATACTGAAACACATGGCTTTTAGTATTGTACAGTATTTCACACTAGTTTCCACAGACCTGGCTAAGGGTTAACCCTGTAAAGCCTTACATATGAAATAATAGAAAACTTTTTAAATGGAACAGTTTATTAAAACTTAAAAACTAGTTTTATTAAAACTAGCCAAAATATTTTTTTAAAAGCTTAAAAAAAAATGCATCTGTTTTATGCTTTGTATCATATTTGATACATCAGACTTGTACAGCTCAAATATGATATGGTGAGAGTTCATACTCAAGGAAGAAGAAAAAAAACAGCTCAATTTTATTACAGAGCGAAAATATTCAATTTAGTGCAGCTATTATTTATACTGCCAAAAAGTAAAGATTAAATTCTCATAGCTTGTAGTGTAAATCACTGAGATCCTTATAACTAATATTATATACAGAACATAAGTTCCAGTCCAGTAATGATCAAAAAATATTACTAATATTATAAAAGTTTATAAATATTATAACAGTCTTATGTTTAATTGATAAAAATCACAAAAGACGTGTACCATGACCTGAACATATACACTGTCCAATCAGACAACAGAAGGCATGTAGTACATTATGAACAACCGTTTTTTCAGCACAGTGTTGATCATGTTGTTAATTTAAAGGCCTTAGAAATGCATGCATCAAATAACTTAAAAACTAGTTTTATTAAAACTAGCCAAAATATTTTTTAAAAAGCTTTTAAAAAATGCATGTGTTTTATGCTTTGTATCATATTTGATACATCAGACTTGTACAGCTCAAATATGATATGGTGAGAGTTCATACTCAAGGAAGAAGAAAAAAAACAGCTCAATTTTATTACAGAGCGAAAATATTCAATTTAGTGCAGCTATTATTTATACTGCCAAAAAGTAAAGATTAAATTCTCATAGCTTGTAGTGTAAATCACTGAGATCCTTATAACTAATATTATATACAGAACATAAGTTCCAGTCCAGTAATGATCAAAAAATATTACTAATATTATAAAAGTTTATAAATATTATAACAGTCTTATGTTTAATTGATAAAAAAAAAAAACAGCTCAATTTTATTACAGAGCGAAAATATTCAATTTAGTGCAGATATTATTTATACTGCCAAAAAGTAAAGATTAAATTCTCATAGCTTGTAGTGTAAATCACTGAGATCCTTATAACTAATATTATATACAGAACATAAGTTCCAGTCCAGTAATGATCAAAAAATATTACTAATATTATAAAAGTTTATAAATATTATAACAGTCTTATGTTTAATTGATAAAAATCACAAAAGACGTGTACCATGACCTGAACATATACACTGTCCAATCAGACAACAGAAGGCATGTAGTACATTATGAACAACCGTTTTTTCAGCACAGTGTTGATCATGTTGTTAATTTAAAGGCCTTAGAAATGCATGCATCAAATATGTTACCCTAGGCTTTACAGGGTTAAAGACTGGTTGTTTTTGTTTGCTTGCTGGCACAGGCCTGTGTGAATGCATACCTACTCATCACACACCGAACACTTTAATACACACCTCTTTGCTTCTCATATGCACTCAGTCACAAATACACTCAACTATAAGCAGTCAGAAAAAAAGGTTTACTTAAGTTTTATATCTTATGTCAAATGCTCATGTCAAGGCCTTGCTATTTAATGTTTCTTTGGGGTTCTCTCATGCGTTCCCCTCTGGCTAAAAGAATACAAAAGGACAGGATTTTTGGAAATATGATCATAAAGGTCAACATGGGCCTGCTGTACTGCTCAAGTCAGCAAAATACTTCCTGTCCTCATCTGATGACATTGCTGATTGTTGTTTCAGATGGCAAGTTTCACTCCTGTTTGTGCCCTTTGGGAGTTTAACAAAGGCGACA